GCCCCCTCGCCCCTCTACACCCCTTGAAACAAAGGGTGCGCTGCTAGTGATTTTGTAAAGTAGTAAAATATAACTTTTGATTTGAATACTAGATTTCTTTTCAATTATAAAGATAAATATTTATATAAAGAGTCATTTTTGATAATAGGATGTATAAAACCATCACCTTTACATCCACCCAAAGGCAATGATGAGTCTTCGATATTTGATTGTGATCTGATAGCTAATTACAAAAACATCTTGCATATAAAAATTTACATTTTCATTAAAAGAAAACACTTTTTTATAAATATAGTAAGTCTTTATTGCCGGTGAGGATGGTGGTTTTGTGCCCCCTCTTACTCCCGGATGCGCCTGTTATCTAGAAACTTTTATAAATTTGTAGATGACTCTTGTATCTATCTTTTGATACCAAGATATAAACATTTGGATAAGAATTGGTTAAGTTATAATAGTTTTAGTTAATAAAACTTTATTTTGACCACAGTTTCTTCAACAAATCCTAATATCAAAAAATCGGTACTTAAAACGTCATAACTTTTTGTAGGGTGGTTCAATTTTGAAAATTTTTTCACTTTTAGAATATTGACATTAAGGTCTTTTTAATGATATATAACAACCTATAATTTGATGAATTTAAAATTTTCATGTGACATACCTACAATATTAATTTATTTGTTTGTTGTCTTGAACCAATTGACGACTTTCTTAGAACTTTAGTGGTATAGTCTTGGGCATATCTGAACATTCGAATTCTAAAGTAATATTCACATATCTTTCTAACAAGCTGGCTGGAATGCAAATCTTCATTTTCAGTCCACAATTCTATGTCCTGACTATCAAGTCCTTTAAAGACTTTTTTTTTAATAATTAATTTGTTAACACAATGGATCATCTTATGCTTTATATTTTTATCTGAGGTTATTTTCGGATTTTTAAAATCTTTACCACTAATAAAGAAATTAAATACTTTCTCACACATCTCAAAAACAACATCCCTTGATGGCAAAAATAAACCACCATGATCTTTCACATTATTTAACGAAGAATGAGATTTTGCATAGGAATGTTCGTATGATAAAATATCAGTTAATGATTGAGCACACCCATTACATGATATAGTATTTATCAAGTTTCTGACTATAAAACCAGAGATATATTCCAATATTGCTTCTTTGTAGCTAGACATTTGAAGTTCATTGCAGTATAAAAAAACTTCTTCAAAGTCAATATCCTCTTGGTCAAAATTATCAACAGAACACAACATTTTTTTCCTACTAAGAGAAAAAATAGAGCCATTAGAATATGGCTCAAACATTAGGCAGTTAGCATGACTCGATCCAACTATGGAGTTTCGCAGAAGAATCTGTTTTATTGATGATTTTAACTGCACTACATCAGGATTGTTGTTATAACCATTTTTTCCATGAATGCAAGCAAATAGTAGTTCAAGATGATCTTGGGAATATTTGTAAGTTAGAACATACTTAAATGGTTTCTCATGAAGTGTTAACAGATCGAAGGATAATTTTAGAGTGCTTTTAGCATCTACAATTAAACCTAAAACAAATGTCTTTCTTTGATGTAAAAGCAATGGAATTCCATTAATATCTACTTGCTCCTAAGAAAGATGGATGCTGTGATACCATTAAAAAATCAATTGCATCAGCAACAGAGTTGCTAAGTATTTGGCCAGCTTTTTTGACATTCATTTTGTAGCGATGAAATTCAATATGTTTTCTTGAAAGTTTTTTTGCAAATTTTAAACCTTCAAGCTCTTGTAACTCAAACAAAGCTTTAATATAACTCCTTAAAATATAGCAGCCCTCATCATCAATAAAAACACCCAAATCATTTAGATAATTTCTAGCTAATTTAAGCATATGGCATGGGTCTAGGAAAATGTGGAGCAGTTGGTTGTTATATAAAAAAGTACTAACTATATTGTCTATGACATTGCCAAACTTAGATCCAAATGGGACAACAGAATTTAAATTTGTACTAGTACCATCAAATGTAATACTTTTGATACAAAGTTCATATGTCAAAGCCACATCTAAAATATTTTTGATAAAACATGTTAAATCGCTTGCTTTAACTTTATTTGATAAACATAACCAATAGGTGTTTTCCAATGTTCTCGCAAACCAACTAACATGAAAATTATTGCCTCTGTAGCTGGAGTATCAGGTTCACATACAGATATATCTTTACCAAAATCACGAAAACCAATATAGTGACCTGAACTTTTGTCATAAATTATACTGTTTTTGATTACCATAGCATCAATAAATAAGAGCACAATACTTAAAATTAACATCTGTTTTCTGTTTATCACCAAGATATGAAAAAATATCAAGGAATAAACCGGGATCACAATTTACAGATGATGTCCAATGTGATATTAAACTGGCAGCAGGAAGACATAACATTGGCCGAAGAAAGTTATACTCACTTGGAGAATAAAAATGAAGAGTTAAAGCGGATTTTTTTATTTCATTGTTGTATCTGTGACCTTTTGGTTTAATATTTTGATTGGAAAATTGGTTCTTAATGATTTCATATGAGAGTCCAGAAAAATTTTCGCTGGTGATAAAGATTTTATAGATTGTGTTGGAGATTGACTAGTGTAGTCATTTTGATCAATAGTGTTTTCTGGCTGATCATTATGTGTTGAATTAATTTCTTTGCTGGGTTTGTCTATAGCAGGGTAAACATCAAACTTTATTTTTTTCGATAAAGGATCAAATTTAGATAATGAATTTACTGATGTTCGTATTGATGGGAGTTTCCTTTTTGTCTTTTGAATATTTGTAGAAAATACAAAAACTGATGGCACAGCATTACATTTTAAAATAGGCTTATGATAATGATCAAAAATTAGATTTTTTTTGTCTGGGATACAGTAATTGCAGTCTGATTCTAAAAAATGGTCGCTTCAAATACAGCTGTGTTTGGATGGAAGAAAATTTTCACGTTTCAAAGCAATAATCCATCTTTTACATAATTCAGAATTTTGAAGAGGAAATTTATGAAAAAGGTTTCGTGCCACCTTTTATATATCTATCAGAACATCTATATGCAGCACAAGAATTTACCATTTTGTGATGAAAATAGTTGAAATAAATAAATACTTCAGCAAGGTAAAAGAAATAGTGT